GATGTGGGGCTCGATCCCAGGACCCTGGGATCATGACCTGAGCCGAAGGCAGACGCTTAACGACTGAGCCACCCAGGCGCCCCTCTCTTTTTTTTTTTGGAGATTTAATTTATTTATCTGAGAGAGAGAGAGCATAAGCAGGGGGAGGGGCAGAGGGAGAAGCAGACTCCTTGCTTAGCGGGGAGCTTGACGGGGGATTAATCCCAGGACCCTTGAGATCATGACCTGAGCCAAAGGCAGTGGCTTAACCAACTGAGCCGCCCCGGCACCCTATAGTGTTTGTCAATTTTCCTGATGAAAATATTCCCTACAGCTGATTTCCAGCTAGCACCATGGTGTCACTGAAACTGTGGCTTTGGGACATGAGGTTCCATATCACACTATTACGTAGTATTTCTACCGTAGTGATATAGTAGACACAAATAACCTCAGGAACATAAGTAATATGTATTAATTGGGAAATCATACATTTTGAAGGTTTATTATTTTTGTTTGTAATATAATTTAATTGTAAGTTTATGTAATTGAAGTTTTAGTAACAGCCGTGTCTAACAACTCACAAAATTCTTAAAAAGATGACAATCTGATCTCATGAGCAATTGGGCTCCAGCGCACTGGTGAAATTGCAGGACCAGTTTCCTTTTAGTTTGATGGTAGATTGATGGGACGTAGGAGGCCTCACTTCTACTTGTCATACATGGGCATGCTAGATTAAAAAATTAAAAAAAAAGTAGTTGAGCTAACAAACAAAATTAAATCTCTGGGTTCTAGAAATGGAATCACAATAGTGCATGAACATGGTGGGTAACCAGACCCTATTTACATCTTATTAAGATTTTATGACTCCAAGGGGCTTGGAGTTTAGGCTGCAGGCTCCATGTGTTGCAGAGAGCTAGAACTGGGCTCTTGACATATGACATAATGATGAGAGCCAGGTGCCGGCACTCCATGGGAAAAACTACCCACCAGACAGAGGCTGCAGCTTGCCAGCATGTGGGCCCTACACTTCCTGAGAAATTGGGCATCCCTTTCCTCTCCTCTTCTCCTCTCAGATGAGGTCTCTGCATTCTTGTTCCACTTAGAACCACCTAGAAGTTCTGACCTGAGAAACAATGAGTCAGTGAACCCTTCTAGGCCTTTGCAGAGATGGTGAAAAAAATCACAAGACACCTTCACAATTTGGACTCAGGTGCTGTTTCTGCAGAAGATAACTCCTGTTGGAGATGAGTCCCAGGGAAGAATTACAATACATGTAGGGAAATCCAGTACCCTGAGAAATTACACATGCAATAGATGGAAGAATCATGTACGTGACAGAATAATCTAAAAGGGCTTTAAAATAAGCATGTATACCATATTCAAGGAGATAGAGAAAGGAATATGATCTATAAGATAAAAATAAGATATGGGAAAACAAAAACAAATAGATTTAAGAAAGAACCAAATAGATGTTTTTAGAAACAAAAAGTACAATCTTTCAAATAAAAATTCAACAGACACAGTGACTCAGTGGTTGGTTAAGCAATGTGTTAGGTACAGCTGAAGAGAGAATTAGGGAATTGGGGGATAGATCTGAGAAAATCCCCATAATGCAGTACTGTGATTGGATTGTGTTCATGTCAAAAATTTGATTTTTTGTACTTTAGTATCAAATGTAAATTTTAAAAATATGTTTTTATGGCTTGATATTTGATAACACACTTAAGAAAAGCTATGAACATTTTGACATTTTATGAATTTGATACTTTGGATAATTGGATATTTTTGGACTTTATAAACATTAGTAGAACAGGACATAGAATGGTGCCTGGTATATTATAGGGACTTTATAAATAAGTTCTGGTTGAATGAATGAATGAATGAAATGTTAGAATAAAATCATAGCTGTTACTTAGAAATGCTTGATTTTAGAAGTGAGCAAAGCCCTTAGGACTCATATACCTTACTTCTAAGGTCCTATTTTTCATTTTAATCTATTGATATTCATTTTAGAGGTAAGCTCAATTGTATAAATAAAGTATCACTACTAACATGTGTCTTTTCCAGGATTTTGCTTGGCTTCTGAAAAACTAAGGGTATATATTAATGAAGTAGGGTTTTTTCCTCTATGGTTCTGGATGAATTGAACAAAGGTTGTATTATGCGAAGTTTCCATTTGATGACAGCTTGCCCATTCTGGACTTGTCAGTAGCAAGGTGTGGTGGGATTCTTAATTGTAGGCTATACTGTATTTTGTTTATAAGAGACATATAACTACAAAGGATATTACTAAGAAGCAGTTGTGAGCTATTATCAACTGAATTCTTCCTATTCCACAAAACAAAAAGGAACTCCACACAAATGACAGTTTTCACTAGAATTTTAAATTATCCTTAAATTCTAAACACTTTTTCATTCTTACACCAGTGAGAAGCCTTGCTTTGTCATTTCAAAAGTGGAACATTGGGTGAGTTTTGTTCATGACAGACTGCTTATTTGACTCTCTGCACCATGCATTTTCCCTGAGCAGGTGCGGGCGTTCTATACAAAGGTTCTGAGTGAAGAGGAGAGGAAACGCCTATGTGAGAACATTGCTGGCCATCTGAAGGACGCACAACTTTTCATCCAGAAGAAAGCGGTGAGTGATATTTTGTGAGCTGACGGGTGACATCTGCTGGCCGGAGAAGAGAGTGCAGCTGTGTGAGAGACCCCTTAAAAGGAAGTGTCGTTTCTATTCTATTAATCGAACTTAAAAAAATTAGTACAAATCCCAACCCACCTCCGATTCTTTTCTCTGCATGTTTTATCTCCAGTGAATTTGGCGTATCCATTGATCCTTTAGCTCCTTGTCCAGTGTATAATAATTGAGTTGAATTCAGGGTGAATTCTGTTCTATGCTCTTCATTGACTGTGGCCAAATTCTGTGCCAGAGTCATGTCCAATATAAAAATGTGGGTCCTGCCACAATTTTGCTTTGACTTTAGAAGATAAGAAATATGGATTGCATTTTTGTGTTGTGAAGCCTGTCTAACCACTCGGTGTCATGACACCTGACCCTCCTTCAGAAGCAACTAGAAACTTGCATGCTCTCTGGGGAGAGCTGAGCTGCTTCCAAAACTCAGGCTGAACTTCTGGGCTGAGATGCCAGGGAATTTCTGATGGCAGCTCACTGTGCTGCGTGGAGCCTTCTCACTTGCAGTTTTCGGGCCTGCCACAGGGGTCAGCTTCTTGGAAACTGAGACAACCCCACAGTTGCCTTGTGTCTTGGTTGGTGCTTCTCTGTTCAAAGGGGCTCTCTGGGACGTGTTCAAAGGCCTGGAGACAAGTACCAGCAGGCTGGGCGCTTGCTCTGTAGGCAAAGTTCTATGTCTTTAACTGTCTTTCACAAGTGTGTATATAAAAATAACCTTTTAAATTGCTGAGGCACTGTTTACGCATTGCTGTCTGTAGCAGAGAGCTGGACGGTTGCTCTGTGAGGTAGGCGGGGGCAGGTTTTATCTCACTGATAAGAACGAGTGGGACAGTATGTAAGTAGCACAACTGGGCTTGAA